ACTGTGATGCTCATGCTCACTCACAAACAGTGTACATACAACACTGAACACAGAAGCCAGCTTACGGCCTAGGGATTTGAAAAGCATCAACAAGTACTTGTATTTCTCCTCTCCTGCTTCAGATATAAAGAGTTAAATTTGCCAAGAAAGACACAATCCTGAAATTAAAGGCAAACTCTGACAGGTGTTTCCTGGGATTCTCATTAATATTGGACAATGAAAGTCAGCCTCTCAGGCAAACATTAATCATTAGCCAATTGTTGAAAATTAACTACTGATCCATAAGGACATCACCGTGAAGCCCTTGTACAGCCATTCATGTATTTATTCCCTCATTTCACATGCATTTCCTGGTGCCTACTATGGGCCAAGCACAGGGTTAAGTTCTCAACACTACAGAGATGAATCAGATGCCAGCCTCTGTCTCTAGGAACACATATCACTTATTAGCTGAGTGAGCCAAAGAAGCAGGCCGGCAGACCCCAGAGCACATGGGCAGAGCCACCACACACCAAACCACTCCCCATTGCAGGTATAAAATGAGGCAGAAAGGGGCTAATCTCTGTAAAGAGGAGAGTTTACCATGCCCATAGGAAGGCAGAGGGAAAGCAAGTATTTAAACGCAGGCAGGTGGGGTGGGAGGCAGGAGTGGATGAGGCTCAGAGGAGGCTGAGCTGAGAAGGCAGCACATGAGCTATCCTAGAAGAGAGAGAACCTGGTTGCGCAGAAATAAGGGCACACAGTTCAAACAGAAAGATAATGAAGCAAAGACACAGGGTGGAGCAGGTACAGAAATAAAACCCACCTTACAGGCTAAGCCCAATGAACCAAGTTATAAAACTGTGTTTCAGTAATTCCCACTATCTGCAAAAACCATGAGATGCTAAACTATATGGCCACACAGATCCAATGAGCTTACTTTTTAAGCCCAGGAAACGTTGTGCATTGGGATCTCAGCCGTGGAAGAGAGAATGTAATCAAAGTACACGGTCCCACGACATTCCTGGCCATTGTAAGGCATCTTACAATGGTCCCACTGCCAAGGGTCCACGGCTAGCACGGCTGCTCAGAGAGGCTCCCACTACTCGGCTACTCTGAGCACAAAATGTGCTATAGCGATGGCTCAGCTCTGAAACCCAGCTCCCAGAGCACCTTAAGCCAGAGGTGCTTGAGAAGCAGAGTCACAAGACCCCAAGCTCTTCAGGAATAAGCACTTACAACTTTCCACCCACTCACAGCTAAGGACCTCCAAGGAGTCCACAGAGAGACCTGCCACCCGAGGTAATCCTGAATATAGCTCAGAGGAAAGAATGGGGGAAAGTGCTTCTCCTCACGGTCACATCAACAACACGTTTACTGAACAGCTACTTCATACCACACCGTTGGGGATTCCAAAATGATTGACTAAGAATTGTATTCTGAAGATGCTTAATAAGATAGAGATAGGATGAAAAAAAAAGATAAGAGATAAGATGTGCATATGAAGAACGAAAACATAGGGCATTTTATGCATGAAGATCCACAAGAGAGGTTCAGATAGGAGTGTTACTTTGGGTCAGGGTCAGAAAAGCCCTCGCAGAAGAGACGTAGTTTGAGATGATTCCTGAACACCTCCCGGGTCTGAAGAAGAGGCACAGCAGATGGAGAAAGGGCCAGGAGGTAAGCAAGCATGTAACAGAAGAGTTTAGGAGCTATGGGTGAGCAAATGGGGGAAGGGTGGGGAGAGGCCGTGAAGGAGGGGTTCAAAAAGCCCTCTGCGGCTGGTGTCATTAGTAGACATCAGGGGAGGTCTGAATTGGCAGATGAGCACCCCAATTTGGGACAGTTCTAATTTGAGGGGACTTCGCACTACAGAGAGCAGAGCTCAGCTTGGGGCTGGGTTGTATCAGGAACAGGTGGCAGAGACAACCTCACCAAGTCAGTTTGTGCATGAGAAACTGAAGGCTGGGAAGCAAAATAAAGTGTTCTTCAGTACAGTGAAGATGAGTATTGTAAGCAGCCCTTCTCTGACACTCCAGAAAGCAGAGCTCCCTCACCCCCTGCTCCCCACCCCAGGCTTAGAAGAAACTAAATAATGATACACACTTTCAATAAGTGGAACTGAGGAGCTAGCACTACAGACTGTGCCAAGAAGGGTCTCACTGTGGGAACTCAGTTGTACGGTTTCCATGGCTTCAACCTCCACGAGTCCCTACAAGTCCACAAATGAAACTGCATAGAAACTTGAGATTGTTTATACTTAAAAAAAAAAAAAAAAAAAAAAAAAAACTAACCCTGGGAAAGCTTGCTCCCCCCAAGGTAGTCTCCAGATTCCCAAAGCTGGCTCAGTTACACACAACTCAGACCAAACACACATTGGCCCGAAGGGGATGGCCACCTTTCTTACCCAATAGAAGTAATCATGTTACCACAAATGACCTGTAACAGGCAGAAACTGCTTGGCACAAGGCTGGCTCTAAGGGTTCAGCGTACACATCTCCCACAGAGCAAAAAAGCAAAGAAAACCACCAGCTCCCTGACATGTGCAGCTCTGCAACCCGTATCAGTCTCTGCCCTTTGATTTGCCATTCACGTTAACTGAAAGGTATTTACTACAGATAAAAAATAAACTTCGTTCGGCTGCCTCTAAACCTATCCCAAAAATAGAGCAATCACTTTGGTACAAATTGGGTCAAATGTATTAAAAAAAAAAAAAAAACCCTGGCTCCCTGACGGGAGCACTGACATGACATGGGACCTCGCAAAGAGTCAGGGGAAAATCCACTAAGATCTTCCCTTCCCACAGTGGTAAAGGAAATATTTAAAGAGTCAAGCAGAGAATAAACTCATCTGGCCATGTGACCATCCAAGTGAAACAAGACAGAAACTCAAATGCTAGAGTTTCATAACGGTAAGAGGTCAAAGGCATATATGTTGGTTTTTAGAAAGGCCTGCCAAACTAATACACTGCCTCCCTCCCCCATGCCTTAAAATACCACTGTTTAAGAATTGTCAAGAAAGCATCCGCTGGGAGGGATTGCAAGAAAGAAGAGAGATTTATCCATTTCCTATATTTTACTCCCTTACTCATCAGCTGAGAAATCCAAATGGTCTGATGGCAGATATGAGTGCCCTGAATTTCCCTGGGAAAAAATCAGAATATTAATTGGCTTATACACACAGCTACATTAATTATTCCATTGATCTGAATTAATCTGCCTTTCTGAAAGGTATTTATTTTCTAAGTTTGTTTAATCATGTTCTCTTGAGCTACAAAAAGCAACAAACTGGGTCACCATCCATGTGGTTAAATTTGGTAACAAGGCTGACACCATCTGTGGCCTAGACTCTGATGATCCATCCCCATTGATGGGGGCTTTTCACCACTTCTGCTCTTCCTTTAAAGTGATCATCCAATGTCAACACGTCTAGGACCAAATCAGAAACTGTTTAAAATATCCCAAAGCACACAAATCACCTCTAGTATACTGTACCGTTAGCACACTAACAGTATATGTGTATCCAACTCCTGTTGAGTTGTATTTTCAGTAGCAATATCCAAAAGATTTTTACATTCTCTAGAAATCAGACTATAAAAGCCCAAATAAGAACAGACATTATATATATCTATCTGACATATGCCACAACATTTTAAGGGTAGCATGAAATCCTGTATATAAACCGTTAAGGCTAAAATCACAAGAGTATCATGTTAGTAGATAGTTAGTAGAACCCAGGAAAGCCCCCACACACACACACTAGTTCTGCCTTTATACCACTCACTTAGTTGCAAATAGCCACCCTACCAAAATACAGCTTCAATATGAGAAACCAGAAACAACTGAATCTAGCTAAAAGAGGAGAAAGCAAACCAAGAGAGAAAGCTCCCCATTACCCAGCACTGGCCTTTCTGCACAGGCTCCCCTAAGGAGGATGCTGCAGCTCCAGAAAAAATCCTGACATGCCTTCTGAATCATCAAGAAAAGATTTTACAGAATGTCAGAGGTAAACACAATCCCAGTGACCTTCTCATCCAGACCCTTTGACAAGTAGGTGAATGGCAATGCGGGAAGGATTTGGGAAATGCCCCCCAAAACACAGCTAGTTACCAGCTCAGTGGGACTAGCTCCTAGTCCCAACTCTGGTGCTCTTTAGGGCTTTCTTTCTTTCTTTCTTTTTTTCTTTCTTTCTTTTTTTTTTTAAAACTATATCAACCTTTCCCAAAGAAAGTCCCATAAAACACTGGTTCCGTGATGTGTTCTGCCAAAAAACTGTTTGAAGAATCCATGACCAATTACTTTTAGTGACTAGCTGAGTTAAACAAAATGAAACTGGGTTTTTAACTACAGACCTTCCCGGAGCTCTTACTGAGCTAATATGCACTATAAATCTTTAAGGGAGCAATAAAGTATGTGGAAGTATCCCAATTTATTTAACCCTAGAATCATTTTATCTTGGGATAAAATATATCTTCATAGGATATTCCTAGTGGAATACTACACTGTATTCTCCAAATTATGTTCCATGTCGATCTATTCAGTTATATTCTGATTTTCTAGAAATGAATAGTTCACGTACAAAATCTATGATAATTCTCTACTTACCAGAAAAATTGACCAAACAAAATAGCCACCACTCCTAAATAAACACCAGATTTAAAAAAAAAAAAAAAAAAAAAAGCAGCTAATATTATCAGGAAAAGAATGGTAGACAGCAAAAGCCTACATGAAGAGAAAAGTTATTTTAAAATCTGCTACAAACCTCTTCCATAAAAAAGTGTCACATCTATTTATGCAAGATTCATGACTTTAAACACTTTCATTCAGTATAAATTTGAGAATACAGGTCAGAGAGGGAAAAAAAAAAAAAAAACCACAAACAAACCCACTGTTGCAAAGCTCCAGGAAACATCACATGCATAGCTGTAAACTTCAACCACGCAGAAAGCCAGCTGCCAGTTTAACTAGAGAGGCAAATGATAACCACACGTCAGGACAGGCGGGAACTCTAAGGATACTTACCAAGTTATGATTTGTTGAATTAGAATCATCTTCAGGGAATGGGATGTAAATAGCTAAGGCCACACAATTGGCAAAAATAGCCAATAATATAAATATGTCAAATGGTCTGAAAAATTTTGTTAAGGCATATATGTCTTATGTAAACATAAACCATTTCTCTCATCACACTCTTCGATCACACCACTCTTGAATCCCTTTGGAAATGAGAATTAGGCCCACGTGTCCTTTCTCGGCCGGCTGTTGTGACCACTAGGTCTCCAGCAAATATAATCGTCCGTGGTCATCTGGCAGGTCCTCCTAGCGAATGACTTTTCCATGTCCTTCCTTCCCTTGCAAGGATCACATAACGCTCATTCTTTGCTGTGCAGGTTATATTGAAACCTAAACATACATCCACCTAGGGCACCCCACGAATCGCGTCTCTGCTTCTTAAAGTTTTCCAAGTGACAAAGGCCTTAGAACACTAGGTTCCTGGCTGTTGTCGACAGAAACAGAAGCCCTCATGGGACAAGTCTCTTCCACGAACCCTTGCCTCCATGTGTTAAAGCCATTTTCTCGGGGGCTATTCCTGGCTGGGTCATCTCCTGTCTGGCCCCGGGCAGGCCAAGGCACCAGAACTTTCTGCATGCTACCTGTGCATGTCTCCTGGCACGTTCCAGTACCTCAGACACTGTAACAAGCAAGCCAGGCTCCAGCTCCCCTTCTGCTTCCTTTACTAATCAATGCCTATCACTGTTTCGGATTACAGCTGGACTGGAGCTCGGTTTCTAATGAGCTGTTACTGCATTCAATTTATAAACAAATTAAATAAAAAGCCATAAGAAATCAGCACCAGACACTTTGAAAGTACAATTGAACAATTCTAAATCTCGGGGGTCTGTCTGGAAGAAATCACTTTGAAGCCAGCTTGCAACAGATACTTGCTTCAACATTCAGTGTTATTAAGAGACATTGTCAAAACTGGCAATGCAAAATTTGGCTTCTGCCAGAATGACTGTTTTTCTTCTTCTGGCTTTCAGGCTTTCTGAATGCAAGGTTTCTAAGGACCAACATAATCTGCAACTCGGGGGGCGGGGGGGGGGAGAGAGCTTGATTTTATAACCGTGTTTCTCCCATAACCTCACCCAAAAAAGGCAAAACCACTGGTTTAACTAAATATCTCCAAGTACTAAAGCTTTGAGGAGGTGAACAGACCCTTCTCCATTCATCCTGATATCATTCCCGGAAATCCAAAAATGCTAAAGGAAACAAAGGCATCTTACTCACTGGGGATATCCTGAATCTCATGAAGAAATAGCCCCTTAAAGAGCTTCGACACTCACAATAAAGACATGAATGACATTCTTCTCTTACTAATTTTGAGGGGTTTATTTTTAAAGCCAATTAGCTTTCATTCATATTTATTTTTTAACTCATCTCGTATTATAAAATCTCTTATCCAAAGATCTAACCTTAAGACAGTTCTCCTGCAGAAGACTTCAGGATCCTCTTCACTTTTCCTTTTTTTGCAGTTCCTACTGAAATTTTAAAAGCCAACTGCCCCAGTATTATTCTACATAGAAACACACCTGTGGTCTCTCCCATCCCCCATACCACCATTCTTCCTTTTGTAGTTCCCAATACTAAATGACAGGCCAGCAAATCTGAAAAATACCAATGCTATTCAGGAAAACCAAACACAATTTTGTTTTTCCTTTGTGCTGGTCTGGTCTCAGTTGCCAGGTGTTGGTGGATACGATCTCACTGCCACAAGATTTTCACAAGCCAAGCGGAACAGAGAGACAGAGAAATAGATGGATCTGCTCCTAAAAATTCCTTCTGATAAGGCGAACCCTCCTCATTCTCCCAAGATGCAGGACACTCTACCTCATCTGGGCGTACAAACCAATGAGGATCTCACTCTCCCAGGGCTGACTGGGCCTGCACAGCTGGCTTTCGGAGGATTTCTCTAACATGCTCCCTGAACTAGAAGGGAACTGTCACCGGGAAAGACAAACAGATCACATGTTGTTTAAAGATCTGCTCTACAGCGCAGCCCCGGTGGCTCAGGGTTTAGCGCCGCCTTCAGCCCGGGGTGTGATCCTAGAGACCGGGATCAAGTCCCACGTCCGGCTCCCCGCATGGAGCCTGCTTCTCCCTCTGCCTGTGTCTCTGCCTCTCCCTCTCTCTGGGTGTCTCACGAATAAATAAATAAAATCTAAAAAAAAAAAAAAAAGGATCTGCTCTACAGACTGTCCCATTTGTAGGCAGGCTTCTCCCTGGATTGGCAGCCACATCTCCTCGTTCCTATACATACGTGTCTGGCCATGCCGGAAAAGTCGGCAACAAGATCCAGGAATTCAATCCGTGCACATACGTTGCTATATACAAATTACTGTGCACGATGAGAAACAGCACCAGGCCTCCCACCTCACTCCACAAGAAGTCAATGACCCCGGAGAGGTCTCTGCTCACTCAGAGTCACGTCAAGCCAACCTCAGGAGGAGGCGATCTTTCTGGCTGAGTGCAACCATGCTTCTGACCAGAGCGATGCCACTGAGGCACATCCTATGCACCTAGCTGCCTCCAGGCTGATGGTAGTGTTCATTCTCAGACTGGAAAAAAACTTACAGAGAAAATATATCCACGCAACCTCAGCTATGTGAGAGACACCATAACTCCCCCTAGAGAAGAGGCATCTGTTCTCAAAAGGAAAAGCACATGAAAACCCCTCAAACCTTATCCTTGCATTTGGCTGCCCTCTCCAAAACCTTTCTGGACAAAGTTACCTCATTTTAATTCGTGTCCATGACCTCAGAAAAGAGCCAGCTACAACAGAAGGCATGCAAAGAACTGCCTAGCTGGGTCCTTGGGGTTATAAGGGAGTTTCGGCCTCACCTTCCAGGTGGTGGTCAATATCCTTCCTTCTTAGCCCTTTCACCCTGGGCGCTGTGGGGGAAGCCCTACACTCACACTGCTTCCTATGGTTAGGAGCTACTCCAAGGCTCCTGTTGGTCCCAAATACACTTCTGGGAAAAGGAAATGCTTTGTTTTACCCAGACCAATGAATCATCTGACTAATTAGAAAGCCATTTGCTCAGAAAGGAGGCCTCAGTCAACCTCTTCTGGAGGGTGGCAGTAATTGGAGACTTGGCCTCTAGAATTGGGGAAGGGGGTGGGCAGGCCAAGCACCCTAGTTTTCCAAGATCCGGGACGTCACAACCATCCTGGGGCATTTGGAGTTCAGTTTTAAAAATACAAAGGAGACACCCAGAAATGCAACTCCAGTCCAAGGACACAGACAGAATGTTTTATAAAGGCAGCAACTGCAAATTCCCCCACTGACAGACTGCTCTCTAACTCACAAGGGCTCAGGAAGAAGAGGCGCACACAAGCCTCTCCCTCCACACGCTCCCTCACGCTCACGTTTCAAATGCTTTTTTGGAACATGTCAAAAGGAAATTCCAGGAAGTCATAGCATTGAAGAGCAAATTGCTCCCTCCCTATGAAGCAAGTGTTCATATTTGTAGCTACCTGAACAATCAGAATCGGCAAATGTCAGAGCTAGAAGCAACCTTAGCAGTAGTTGGGAGTTTCGGAAACAAATTCTAAACATCAGAATGAGAAGATGCCACTAAAGGTCAAAAATGTATTCATTTCTAGCAGAGTCTTGCACAGTCTTTTTGTTTTAAATCAGCATACCTTATTTGCAATAGCTTCAATGCATATCACTGCTCCAAAAGCAGTGGTGGGTTTAAACTCCCCATCTCATGGTGACCAAAGGTCAGTTTCCTCTTTAATTACCACTTTGAAGTTTCAGGTTATCCCCCACCTCCATCACCACACACACACACACACACACACACACACACACACACACACTCAGCTAAATATAACCATAGAGCAACCCCTTGGCACCCTGAGGAGATAGGAAGGTATATACAATGCAACCCTTTACATACAGCCTTTCTGTTGCTCACATTCCAGACTGCTACGACTTTGTAAGTGCCATTTCAGAAAGCAGATCCTTTTAAAGAACAGATGGTAAAAGAGAAACGAGAAAGACTTCCCCCCAAAAAAGGATACTTCCATTCCACTATACTAATGCAGGCTCTTCGGATGGGGTTATTGAGTGACAAACAGAAGAGGGCGCGGGCAGGTCGGCTGTTGGACGAGTTACCCTGTTTTTTGCTCTTGGCGTATTGCTGACGTTTTCTTTGGGAGAGAGATCCCACAGGTGGGGGTGCAGAGGTGCTCATAGTTTGGGCAGCCTTGGCCTGTCTAGCAGCATCGATTGCAGCTTGCCAAGACAGGACGGTTTGCTTGGAGCTATTCGGCTGAGAAGTTGGTCCTTCACCAGAAAGAGGGAGTCTGGTGCCTCTTGCATAGTTTGCCTCTGGGAAGAGGGGAGGAAAAAGAAAAATTTAAAAACCAATAATGAGAAACCAGTGTCAGAAAAAAGCAAAAGTTGTCTCCCATCAATAACAGGGGGGTATGCTTCCCATGTTTCCATTTTGTACCTCATGTCCTAGTTTTCAGAAGCAGAAATGTGGTCAACCAGAGCAGCCAAAGAACTCCACGTGCTGTGCCCTGAATATCAGTGGCATAGGACCACTGCTGCACAGGGGTGAGTGCCTCTCTACAACCCTGTCTTCACAAGGACTCTGCTAAGTGTCTTTCTTCAACTGAGGTCATCCACATTTATTCCACCTTTTCTGACTTTTAAAATACATGTATCTCTTATGAGTTAATAGATACACACAATAGCTTTTCTCCAAAATAACTACCCTCCTCACCACCACCCCCCAAAAAAAATGGCAGTGCCAATAACTCAATAGTCTTACTCATTTTCAGGGTGCCACTCCAATATCTTTGTACAGCCACAAATGCATTTTTTTCGGCATAGAAAAAAAAAATCCTGCACTAGGCACCAGGGCAATACCAAAAGCCCCATAACAAATATCTAGATTATGCACTGACACTTCCTGCAAATGAAAATTCATGATGCTTGGGACTCATTTCCTCCACAGGCTTCCGAAAACAGAAAACATCTTTAGGGCTTTTTTGCATTTTAAATTGCAGCCGCAGCAGCCAAGCCAGCATCCAGAGAAACAGTCAAGGCAGGCAGCCTGCACCCCTACACCTAGGAGAGACAGGCCCCTCAAGGCCCAGGCAGGAATCATCCAACGGTAGGCTGGCATCTAGGTACCCGGGCAGAGCCCCAAGGGGGGCTCCATGTGCAAAGCCCCCCTCTGACTTTGGGTCAGGCCACCACCACCACCACCACCACCCGGGCAGGTGTCCCAGGCACTTGCCTACCTTGAGTCACAACCTCCTCACTGAGACACAAGTCAAAGTGAGAGTGGTGGCAAAGGCAGAGGGATGGGCGTTTACAAAACCAATTCTTGCCAAGTAAAGAACGAGAGAGAGTCCAAGCCAACACCGGTCGGCCTGCCCAGCACCCGGAGAAGGGGGCCAGCAGCGCAGCCAGCAGCAGGCCCCCACCGGGGAGGAATCCCGCAGAGTCTTCCCTTGGGATCACCCTTGGGAAGGCTGTGAGTCCACTGAGGTTGGGGGCGGGGGGGGGTGCGGGGAGTGGAGGTGCGTCCCCGGCCTCCATGGAGGAGGTAGGAGGGCTGACCAGAAGCTGCTGCAGCCGCCGTCAACCCAGCCAGCCCGGCCGGCGTGGTGGCTGCACGTGGTGCCCAGGCCCGGCTGGGGAGAGGAGCCCGGAGCGGCAGCGACTCCCCAGGCATTGCTAGGTTACCGACGTGAGCACAGCGGCGCTGGGAGCGGGAACACGCTCCACCCGACCCCCCGGCCGCGATCCCCAGACCCGGCCTCCGTCTTCCAGGGGCGGGGTGTGCTTCACCCACCGTCGCGGAGAGGGAAACCGGGCAATCCTAGAATTTTCCGGATGCCACTGGAGACCAGGGGGCGGGGAAGGAGAGGAAGGCGAGAAGAGGCTGGAAAGGGGGCTCGGGCTGGGGATTCACAGCCATCCCCCTTCCCTCGCTCGGGAGCGTTGGGGGAAAGTTGAGCCCGAGGACACTGAACCCGAATCACCTCGGCCCGCCGCCCCTCCGGCGCACGGTACTCCAAGGACTCCACGGCCGCCCCCACCCCACAAATGCAGAATTAACTCTGACATTCAAGGCCTGAAGGGGAGAACGGAGTGGCTGTCACGCATCTCCCCTTCCTATGTAGATGGCACCGAGCTAGAAGCATCCTCTCCAACCCTCTCAACCCACCCAGTGCATCAGAGACGGGAGGGGGTGGGAAGGAAGAGGAGGACCATGACAAGGATGAGATCTGGCAGCGGGTGCCCAGGCTCTGCTGCTCACCGTTCGCGTGGTCCGCTTGCTGCTGCCGTTGGTGGTGCATGTTTTTCATCATCATCATCATCATCATCCACGAACATTTATTGAGCGCCTACTGTGTGCAGGGCACGGTGCTGGGCGTTGGGGCGGGTGGGGGGGGAGGCACGGGTAAGGGGGTTTACCAATAGGTAGGAGCCGCGGTCCCTGCCCTTATGGTCGCCTCGGCAGGGGGTGGGGAGGGACGGGGACGGATAGCAGAAAATAAGAATAATTTGTAAAAACCGCTCGCCACCCACGCTCCCTCTTTTCCAAAAATGGAGCAAAATAAACTTTTTTTAAAAAAATAAGATCAGATGTATATATTATCTTAATAATATATACATGTAAATTTTTATTATTCTTCTTATTATTATTATTCTTTTTTTTTTTTTTTTTTTTTTTTTTGCTGCAAAGGAGAATTGGCTTGGTGTGTCCCCCCGCCCCCCCTTCTAGCGGAGGGACGCCGCGGAGATGCCGGCCCGGCCGCCGGGGCCGCTCGGAGCGCCCCCCATGCCCGCCCGCCCGCCCGGTGCCCGGTGCCCGGTGCCCGCCGCCGCCGCCGCCGCCGCCGCCGCCCGCGCCGCCGCTGGCTCGGGACCGCGGGCGCCCCGAGCTCACATCCGGGGACGGAGGCGCTCGCTCGCTCGCTCGCTCGCTCCGCGCCCGCCGCGCCGCGCCGCACGCCGGCTTCGCCCTGCCGACGCTGCGCGCCCGCCGCCGTCCCTCCCTCCCCCGCCCGCCGAGCCTCCCACGGGCCGCGCCGCCGCGCCGCGCCGCGCCGCGCCCCGGGGGCCGGGCCCGGCCCGCGCTGTGCCCGCTCGGCCCGCGCGCCCGGGTGGCCGCCGCCTGGGGCTCGGGGTGCCGCCGCCCGCCGCCCGCCGCCCGCCGCCCGCAGGACCCGCGGGCGCCCGGGGGTTAAGCGCGCTCCGGCCGCGGCTGCCGCTTAACCCCGTGCGCGCCGCGGCGTGCGCCTGGCGGCTCCCCCGGCGGGGGCGGGCGGGGCCTGCGAGCCGCGGACCCGGCTGCGGATTAACCGCTCCTCCCCTGCATTTCCGCGGGGCGGGGGCCCGGGGGGCGGGGAGCGGGGGGGCGGGGACGCCGCGCTCCGGCTCCCGCGCGGGCCCGGGCTCCGGCGAGCGCGTCCTCCGCACACCTGGAGGAGGCCCCGCCCCCTGGGGGCGCAGGTGCCTGCGGGCGGCGGTGGCTGCGGGTGGAGGGCTCGGCCCGGCCGGCTCCCCGCCCCCTGCGCTCCCCGCTCCCCTCTGGCTCCCCGTGGCTGCGGGGGGATGGGCAGCTCTGCTCCCTCGAGACCATCCACCGCCCCCAGGTAACGGCACCTTGAGACCTAACCGCGTGTCCAGAGCGTCCCCAGCTCCAGCCCGCGTCGACCCTGGCGCCGCCACTGTGGGCTCAAGGACTCAGGGGGTGACGGGGCCACTTTCCCCTTCTCCTTGTGTCTCCCCACCCGCCCCCTCCCCCCACGTGTATCTGCAAGGCAGGTACGAGGAAGTGAAGGCCAAGGTCCTTCCAGCAGGGAGTTGTTGCTGAAAGGAGCTGCCGGCTGCCGCCGCGGACAGCGCTCTTTGGGGTGGGGGCTTCTGCGAACGGCAGCTCCTGTCTAGAAGGGAAAACGCTGTATCTGCTGGATGACGGATATTTCTCATTTAGCGTTGAGCTGGCTGTTGGGAGAAGGGCTTCTGCTTTACTTCACAGGATTCGATTTATTTGCTTTTGTTCCGATCTGCATGTTCCCACAGCGTTTTAGAACGTTTGAGCACAGTGTCTTTAAAGCAAAAATAAAGCAAAAATCTCAGCGTGACTGAAGAGGATAAGACACGTTTATGGGAAGGTGCTCCTTGGCCAAAGAAAGCATGCTGGGCCTCAATTGTTCGGGCCACCTGGGGAGAGAGACTGGGGACCAAGCATAAGGCTTTCCAGGGGCCTTCCTCAGAGGGGCACCGGGACTGGAAGGATTAAAACAGGCTCCTTGTCCTTGTCTCTTCTTCTGTTTTTTGGGTTTTGGTTTGTTCTTCTTCTTCTTCTTCTTCTTCTTCTTCTTCTTCTTCTTCTTCTTCTTCTTCTTCTTCCTTTTCTTCTTCTTCTTCTTCCTTTTCTTCTTCTTCTTCTCCTTCTTCTTCTTCTTCCTTTCTGGGGAGGTGGAGAGGCAGGGGAAGAGCTCTGCGGCCTAGCAGTAATATAAAGCCGGCCGGGACTACCTCACCTAAGGCTGCCCATGAGCCCAAATCTGAAGGGACAGAAGCTGGTTGCCTTCAAAGAACTTTCCCACCTACAGACCTTAAGTGCTGATGCAAGTATAAAATTCACAGTTACCTGTCACTTTCAGATGGTCTAGGGCCTCGCCTCTTGGGAGACCTGTTCTGCAAAATCCCACCCTAATATTTGCTCACAATTCAGTTCAGCCAGCGACCCCTAGGCTAGGTGTTGTCAGGCCCAATTCACCGGTACATTCTTTCCCTTATGGAGATGCAGTCTAGTAAAAGAAGAAAAGTGTGTGTCCACCTGTAATACCGTGTGGAACCGAAGAGCTGTAATAGGTATGATGAAAAATGCTATGCAAGCATCAAAGAGGTTCATTATAATGAGGAAATCTGAGACGTTTTCACAGAAGACATGGCATTCTGATTCTTAAAAATTGATGAGGTGAGGAAGGGGGAGGGGTGAGCTGATGGAGCACAGGGCAATTTTAGGGCATGGAAGCTATTCTGTATGATACTGTAACAAATATAGCACACTATGCCTTTATCAGAACACATAGAATGTACAACACAAAGAGTAAATGTAAAATATGGATTTTAGTTAATAACAATGTATCAATATTGGCTGGTGAATTGTAACAAATGTACCACACTCATCCAAGATGTTACTAATAGGAGAAACAGTTGGAGGAGGGAGTCTATGGGAGCTCTGTACTTTCTCTGCAATTTTTCTGTGAACCTAAAACTGCTCTTAAAAAATAAAGCCTGGGGCACCTGGGTGACCCAGTTGGATAAGTGTCTGGCTTCAGCTCAGGTCATGATCTTGGGGTCCTGCAACGCGACAGCGTTGCAGTCCAGGTCCCTGCTCAGTGGGGAGCCTGCTTCTCCCTCTGCCCTTCCCCTCTGCTTATCCTCTCTGTGTCTGTCTCTCAGATATATAAATAAAATCTTTTAAAAGAAATAATAAAATCTATTAAAAACAGGTGACTAACTTTATTGGGCTTTTGGGGAATGAGTGAAGGCGGGGGAGACTGAAGTGCAGGATGGGATGTGTTTGAAAATAAGCAGGAGTGTGGCAGGGTTGAGGGGCAGCCCTCCCAGGCTGGAGGAGGAAGGAGGCTAGGTCCACAAAGGCAGTCAGGAAGCATTGCTGGCTCGCTAAGAAAACCAGATTTATCTTCTCAGCAGTGGGAGCCTGGTGAAGGTGCTTAAGCTGAAAAGCAGCATGATTAATTGTGACTTGGGTCTCTGGGTTTTGCACTTTAGATCTTAAAGACTTTGTAGAATTCGAATCTTTAACATTGTTCCATCGTACCTTCTGAGTCCCATCTTTACATTGTCTCCAGCCAGATTTTTTTGGGGGGAGGGGAGGGTGAAGGGGAGGACTTGATCCAGCACATCCCTGAATGCTTTGGCCCACTGGGTAATTTAAATATTCCTATCCCCATACTAATGTGAATTACTGGATAAATAAATAATAGCTAATATTTTTAAAGGCTTCCTATGTCCCAGGCACCAGTATGGCTGCTTTACACATATAAACTCATGTAATTCTCATGACAAGCCCAGGAGACAGGGCCTATTAACATCCTCACTTTACAGATAAAACCAAGACACCGAGGAGTTAAAGGACGTTCCCAAAACCACACATTTATTTGGTTGCTGAGACAGAAAGACCCAAAAAAGACTAAAATAAAGGATTTCAGCTCCAAATCAGCCACATGTGTTAAGACCCAAATATGTCACGAACATGCTATTGTGGGGCTTTAATCCTCATGCCCTCAGACATAAAACACTCCCCTTTAAAGGCACTGAGTGGGCCTTCTGGAAGTGGTTCCCTGCATGTATTTCACTTTTTAAAACCTTGCTGATAGCCCAATCCAGAGCCTTATGACCTCACACCCATAGATCACTAAGTAGACGCCCTACCTCCGTTCCTCCTCCAGTAATAACGCATCCTGTGCTCAAAAAAACACCATGCCACTTCCGTAACCGAAAAAGCCTAGTTCCTCCTTCCTTCCATGTCCAAGCTAAAATCCTCTGACTAGTGCTCAACCTTATCACCTCGCACCATTCACCTTCACCGTGGTCAGCAGTCTCCTCATTAGGCCGTGAACATGCTGTGCTCATTTCTGACTCTCTGCTCTGGCTCGTGTTTAATCGTTGACCTGAAATCCTGTCTTGCTGACCTCTAACTAAACCCTCCCTACTTTTACAAGTCCCCACCAAGTCCTAGCCTCCTCCCAGAAGCGTTCTTTGATTTCTCCAGCCACTGCAAACACAGGTACACCCACCCCTGCCTCCACCTCCCCTTGATTACATACCTTCTTGTGTCCCGTTTGATTGCTTATTGGCTATGAATCTTGTGTATCCAACCACGGTGTGGGTCCTTAAGCTAGGATCACCTCCTTAGCCCTCTGCCCCCACCGTCAAGTGTTGTGCACACAGAAGACACTAATACTCTGATTAATCTGCATTGGATCATAAAAGCCCACAGATATCACTAGAAATTGTCAGGTAATATTTACAAAAATCCCGTAAGTTTTTGGCAGGACACATGGCCCTTAGATCGTATATACATATATATATAGATATATACTCAAAGGGAAAACTGGGTCTTTGGGACTCTAGGAATCCTAATTAAGGAAAATAAATAAGCAGATCCTAAAGGCTCTATGTAGAATATACCTATAAATGAACTGTGAAGCTGGGTCTCAGTGAGTCTCTCCATTCTCAGGCCTTCATGCCCTGATCCACTAACCACCAGACAAGTAAATAAAGGGGGTCAGGACATGCATTCCAGGTAAAGGAATGGTATTCACAAAGTTAGGCAGAAAAGTCCAGAGCATGTGCAGTAATCAGTAAAGTGGTCAGGCTGGGAGCTGGGGGTACTTCAGAGATTCTGATACTAAGTGAGACTGCACAGATAGGATGGAA